TAATGTCCCAAACTTATTTGCAGGTGCCAGTGGATTATGTATGTAGACAGCCTTTTTCAATTGGTCGCCTCTCTGGTCCAAATGGTGCAGAGGAGGGAGACATTGCTTACTCTCCACGGCTACCAAGTATTTTACCTTCCTCATTCATTTGACTGATCTGATTCTCTTTTCTACCACGTTCATATTATTCTGCATCACACTGTACTAATTTGCCATACGTATACTGATTCTGCATTGATACTGTTCTAATTTTCCATACTTATACTGATACTCTACTTCTTGCTTTTAGCCTTCACCCGTCCCTGTGTCACCGGTGGCGCCAGTGGCACTAGTGGCACCTCCTCTAGCTGCGGGGAGGAGGGGCAAACAAGCTATTTCTCGCAGCAAGGGTGAGGGCATAGGTTGAGGCAGAGACAAGAGTGCCCAGGGTCAGAGTAAAGAGTCTCGGGTAGAGAAGATTTCCTCACTCTTGGAGCCAATTTTGAGTGGGGATGATGCTGAGACTAGTAGCACCAAGAAGTCAGTGAGGGGGCGCTTTGAGTCTAAGAGCAAGAATGATGATGCCGACTCTGGATCAGGGACTGAGAGTATTCCGAGACTGGCTCTGGATCAGGGAGTGGTGAGGATGATGACGGCTCTGGCTCTGAGCCCCACCCTTCTGATGATAGCAGTGCTAATGGCGATAGTGCCCCTAAGTCCCCTCCCCAGAAAAGGACGAAGAGGGCCTCTCGAGCTTAACTCTGATTTTGTATTATTTTTTTCTTTTCTTTCTTTTTGCTTTGGTAGTTTAGACTTTGTATAGCTTTAGATAGGTCTATACTTTTTTCTTTAAACACTTGTATTTTCTCTTTTGAAAAAAAAATATATATGATCAAGGTAAAACCCTGCAATTTTATAAAAGGGAGAATTTTATTTTACATAGCATCTCGAGAATGGCACCACACTTGCATAAAATTGGAACTGAATTCAAAATTGAAAATGCTTGTATTTGAATGATGTTCGTAATCGAATATTGAGCCTACAACTGACCAAAACATAAAATAAAGCCCAATAAAGAAAAAACAAAGTAAAAACAAACTAAACACAGCTATTCACATTTGCTAGAAACAAAAGACTCAAAACAAGACCCAAAAACCAAGAGCGACCAATCATAACATTGCTGCCAATTACCTGGCTAGCTGCATTGGTCAGCCGGCCACTTGAATAGATGGACAGCCGGTTGAGAAGGGTGGCCGGCCGGCCAAGGCATGTGGTTGGACAGTTGGCAATAGCTGTCAGCCACTCACACAACCTTATCCTCTATAAAGGTCTTCTCTTGCTCATTCCTTCGACAGAATACCATCTCTTCTACAATTTTTCTTGAAAATTGAGATATTTCTTGCCGATAGGCTCAAGGATTAGATGGCCACTTTGGACGGCACGGGAAAGGTCAATTTTTTCGATTTTGGCATAAAAGCGCTTTTTCCATTGGGTCGTACTTCACTTTGTTTTCCGTTCCTTCATGCCGCTATTCGATGTTAGAACTAAGTTACACATGTGTTTCACTTCGAGGCACAAGAAATGTGTCCAACTCTTGAAGAATTTCAAGCTTTAATGGAATCCCGGCATGATAAGGAGATTACGACCCAACCCTATTTTGGTCATGCACGGGCTCTTAAACGGATGTGTGGGCTTACTTTACACGAGGCTCGGTCCTTAGCTTATGACGGGGAGTTGGATATACCCAGCTTGATTCATCTATTTTCTGGCATTGGAGACAGAGGTGACCTTCTCTGGCGAGGTTATCATCAACATGCCCTATGCTTATGTTTACTTGCACACTTCCTACTTGCCCCTAGTTGCATCGGAGCTAGCATTAAGTTGGTCGAAGTGACCCACTGCCATAAGAAGGGTAAGAGTTGCATAGGCTTGGCATTGGCCGAGACTTTGATGGGTTTGGATGCCTTCCATCGGTGAGAGACTAGTCGGTTTGTGAGGGGTCCACTGCTTCTCCAAGTATTGTTTCTCACTCTTTCTTATTTATGATTTCTCACATCACTTGGCACTCACTCTCTATTTTTCTCTCGAAACCCCCTCCTTACTTTTCTCTCAATATACATCTCTATATTCTTTAATCTCTCTTATTTTTCATCCCTTCCTAGGCGTGGTTGATGGATAAGCTGAAAGTGGTGGACCGATGCCCCGAGTATTCAGCCAAATCCTACTTCTTTCGCCCACGGTTAGTAGACTTTCCCACAAAGGGATTGTGGTGTGATTGGATATGCAGCAGATCTGCACCTGACATTGCTTGGCATTATCCCTGGCTTAATTTGACTGAGATAAGCTACATCATGTCTCACCAGCCGGGTATATAGTTGATTGGCCTTACGTGCTGTTTATTCTATTTCCCTTTCCGGTTCAGACGCCAGTTTGGGCGCAATCAGGCCCATTCAAATGAGGGAGTGGAATACCCTACTTCATTTTCAGTTCGTGCTTCGCACTTGGCTTGATACCTCGTTCCTTAGAGGACGAGAGAGCTTTTGGCCCCTGCTACCAACTTCAATTACGCCTTTTCTAGCGAGTGCTACGGAAGGTTGGGCTTCAGGAAGAGGCACAGTGTAACTTGCTTTTCGTGCTCCTTTCGGATATGATTAGCCTTGCAGTTCAGACTCCCGTGGTTCTGAATCTGATTTCACAAGTGCAATGTGAAATAGATAAATACAAATGAGTCCAAATTCGGCAATTCTTTTGGAAAATTGATGTTTGAATCAAATGCCAAAAATGGACCGCTTTGGCAGATTTCAGAGTCTCTATCTAAATATTTTTGAGAAATTTAGGAAACCCATGACTCGTGCCAAAGGCCACGTGTCCATCTCACCAAAGTGTCTCGGCTCGAGAACTTAGGTATGAGAGGGGGAGGTCATGAATTGAGCACCCACCCGATCAAAGATCAGCCTCTACTAATCATGATGTGATTTTTATTTACATTATATGCTCTTGTTCTGATTTACTATGTGATGCACACAGGTATAGACTATTTTGCAAAGATTAGAACACTTTGATTTCATGTTTGTTTTGAAAATTATTTTAAATATGCATCACTTAAAAAAGTGAGTTTGTATGTACATTAATCAATTCATCCCAATTTTAGCGATTAGCATTCATCCATAGGCATTCAAACAGGTATATCACTTAAGCACTTAGCCTCATGGAAAGCATGCTCGATATGACAACACAAACATACGATGTGATATGCTAAAACACAAAATGCTCACCTAGTACTTCGAGGCAAACCAAATAAAATAAAATAATTAGAAAACATGCATGCTCCTAAACAATGTAATATGACTAATGGGACGCATACAATCATGCAATTAATAGGCTCGGCTACTAGCATGGTACATGATTCAATTCAAGACATGTGATAGATCACGTATTCATTTAAGGAAGTTGAATGTGACATTGGTTAGTATGATGAGCCGGACCCAAATTCATGTGAGACGAGTGTATGTGAATCATGGGAAATGCTAAGGAAACATGATGCTTTATGCTACCATTATAAGCGGACAAATAAAAGGGAGAAAGAAATGCGGTTGGAAAACATACACAATTATTACATATTTGCCTTCATGCAAGAGGGTTCGAATAAGTGTCCAAGTGTCCGAATTAAACTAATTATTACAAATCCAAATTCAATTATGAATAAATAACTAACTATCTAACTTTCTAACTGATTACAACAACATTAAAATAACAATAAGTGCAACAATAACGTTAAAACAATAATAAGTACGACAATAATTACAACAACGATTCTAACAACAAGAATATGCTAAGTAATTACAACGATAATAATATGAACTAAAGATGCACAAGGATCGGATGTGTGTTCATGAGAACAGTCTGCAGAAGCTACTCTATCTGCCTCTCTAGAAATCTACCCTGTTTCACCCTCATTCACTGCTCCATGTTTCTGCCAAGTACTCTGTTTTACCAAACATTGGAGCCCGGCTGGCCCCTAATGAGGCCCGACTGAGTCCAAAAAAGGCTGGTCATGCCCTAATTTCATGCAAAACATATTTTTGTGCTCTAAGGTGAAAACAGTGCAAACAGAGCCTTTTCTGAGCCCTATTTGTCCCTTCAGCTCTTCTCTGTTGTCACGACCTAAACCTGCCCCTATAGGTTTAGTGTCGTAACCTTCCAGTAATCCGCAATTACCAAAGGCCTAACTGAACCAAGCAAGTAAATGGGGTTAGCAGAAGCTATTATATGAGAAACAAAACGTCCAATAAGCTGTGAGTACACATGAGACAAAAGATATTGCTATAGTTATATATACATTCATGCATAAGTACATCTTGTTGTCACAAGTTCGTTAATAGACAATAAAAAGGGAAAAGTCACCCCTACCGAAAACAAAAATAATGCCAGAGGCAACCAATCAAAATACATGAGCGAGTTACAAAAGGGTGCACATTGGCCACCTCAAAACTCAGATAGATGGGAACCTCGCAGTGAGGCATAGAAGTTAGCTTGACAAAACCAAAGCAAGGTTGACGCCACTATGTCCTTTCCTGAGCTGGGTCACCTACATGGCATATCAAAATATGAGCTAGAGCCCAGTGAAAAATAGCTGAAATAAAGAGATTTTGGCTGGTAAGGTAGAGTTTTGTCACATTCATTGGTCTCAGCCAATTTACAACAGCCTCTACCTTTTATGGATCAACAGAAATACCCTCTTTTGTTATCACATGCCCCAGAAATGTCACACTATCCAGCCAAAATTCACATTTCGACAATTTAGCATACAGTTTCTTCTCTCTCAACATTTGAAGAGCAAGTCTCAAGTGATGTTCGTGTTCTTCTTTGCTTTTAGAATAGATCAAAATGTCATCGATAAAGACCACAATGAACTCATCAAGAAATGGCATAAAAACTCTATTCGTTAGATCCATAAAAGCAACTGGTGCATTTGTGACCCCAAAAGGCATAACGAGGAATTCATAATGACCGTACCTTGTTCAGAAGGCAGTTTTCTCCACATCTTCAGCTTTCACTTTTAACTGATGATATCCAGACCGCAAGTCAATTTTTGAAAATACTTGTGCTCCTTGTGGTTGGTCAAACAAATCATCAATACGTGGCAACAGGTACTTATTTTTTACTGTCACCTTATTCAATTCCCGATGGTCAATACAGAGTCTTAAAGTTCTATCCTTCTTCTTGACAAATAGCACTGGAGCGCCCCATGGAGATGTACTAGGCCTGATAAATTTCTTAGTCAGCAATTCTTGTAACTGAGTTTTTAACTCTTTTAATTCAGTAGTTGACATCCGATTTGGGGTCTTAGAAATCGGTTGGGTACCCAGTACTACCTCAATAGTGAACTCGATTTCCCTATCAATCAAATTCCTGGGCAAATCATCTGGAAACACATCTGGGAATTCTTTCGCTACAAGAATACTACTTACATCTTGTTTAGCTGTAGTTGACACTGTTAGTACCGAACATAAAAATCCCTTGCACGCCTTATTAATCAACTTATTCGCTTTCATAGAGGAAATCAAATATGGGGAAGATGTAACACTATTCCCGTTAAATATAAATTCAGGTCCATCAGGTAAATGAAACACAACTTGTTTGGTTAAACAATCAATTGCAGTACAATATTTTGCTAGCCAATCCATTCCCAAGATAACATCAAAATATGCAATGTCTAAAGGTAACAAATCCACATACAAACTCATATCTCCAACAAGAATCTCACACGCAAGATACATAGATGCACAAATCATAGTTCCTCTCGCCGAAGAGGTTACAACTAACACATAGTCCATCAGTTCCAAGGGTCTAAGTAGTTTTGGAGCAAAAGCATAGGATACGAAAGAATGTGTGGACCCCGAATCAACTAATACATGTGCATTTTGAGAACAGATAGGAAGAATACATGACACAACCGTCTCTATAGTCTGCACATCACCCGGTACCAATGCAAAAACCCATCCTTGCTTTAGAGTTTCTTTTCCCGTAGCTTCTTTCGAATTTACCCTTGGTGCTGACACTGATGCAATTGAGTTAGCCCTAGATTGGCTTATGCTTTGAGAAACTAAAGGACAATCCTTAATCATATGGCTTGTTTTTCCACAACGAAAGCATGCACCAGAAATTCTGCGACAGACTCCCTTATGTCTCTTTCCACACTCTGGGCAAATAGGTGTATTAGTCCCTTGGCTTGAACTAGTAAATGATCCTGTATTCTGTCTTTTGTTCGGGGGAGTGTTGAAGTTATTCCAACCCTTCTTGAAATTAGATCCCGGCCTTTTACCCTTCCATTCAATCACCAGTGCCTTTGCTTGCTTTAGTGCGGCAACATTCACCTCAACTATGATGGACCTATCCAAAACGTCAACATATTTTTCTAGTTTGAGTACATTAACTCGATCTAAAACCTCAACATCCAAACCACCTTCAAACTTTCTGGCTTTCTTATACTCAGTGTCTACCATGTGTGGCACGTAGCCTGCAAGCTCTGTGAACTTAGCTTCATATTCCGCTACTGTCCTAGTACCTTGCTTTAACTGTTCAAATTCTATCACCTTGTGATCTCTCACACACTGTGGAAAATATTTTTCATAAAAAACTTCCTTAAACTGTGCCCAAGCCATGGCAATTTGCTGATTCTGATCAAGCATCCACCATCTTCTCGCTTCTTCTTACAAGGTAAAAGTTGCTAACGGAACATTATGTTCTTTAGTACATGGAAATACTTCTAATAACTTTTCAATCTCCAAAATCCAAGCTTCAGCTTTGAGCGGTTGGTTCAAGGCCTCCCGGAAAGGTAGGCGGTTTCAGCTTATTAAACTTCTGTGTCAGGGTAATAATGTCACCGTTATTGAGTGGTTCCACTAGAACTGGTGGCGGAGGAGGTGGTGGAAAGGGTTGTCTTGGTTGTTGTCTTAGCGCTTCCGTCAACAACTCCACCATTCGCTCTAACCGATCCATTCTTGCGTCAGAAGTTTCAGATGTTTCTACAGGTCTTGTTTCTTCCATTAGGCTATATATAAATAGAGTAATAATAAACATAGGACACAAAAGGTTTATACATGCATTATTACCACATAAACATATCAGATAAACCACACACACTCACGCATGCAGCTAATATGTCCTAATTTCTCTTCTAGAACATCCTATAGCTCATTTGGACACATGTGTGTGATACAACTCATGCTCTAATACCACTCTGTCAGGACCCAAATCCGCCCCTATAGGTTTAGTCTCATAACTAGCCAATAATCCGCGATTACCGAAGGCCTGACTGAACCAAGCAAGTAAATGGGGCTACCGAAAGCTATTATATGAGAAACAAAACGTCCAATAAGCTGTGAGTACACATGAGACAAACGTTATTGCTATAGTTATATATACATTCATGCATAAGTACATCTTGTTGTCACAAGTTCGTTAATAGACAATAAAAAGGGAAAAGTCACCCCTACCGAAAAAAGTCACCCCCATCGAAAACAAAAATAATGCCAAAGACAACCGATCAAAATACATGAGTGAGTTACAAAAGGGTGCACACTGGCCACCTCAAAACTCGGATAGATGGGAACCTCGCAGTGAGGCACAGAAGTTAGCTTGACAAAACCAAAGCAAGGTTGACACCACTATGTCCTTTCCTGAGCTAGGTCACCTACATGGCATATCAAAATATGAGCTAGAGCCCAGTGAATAACAGCTGAAATAAAGAGATTTTGAACGAAAATTTTAATGGAAAATAAAACACACACTAAGCAAGTTCATATGCCATTTGAGAAACATAACGTATCACGTAGTATAATTTAAAGTAATAAATACAGGCAGTCTAGAGGACCGAACAGACGGTCATGAAGACTAGACAGGTGATCAAGAAGACCGAACAGGCGGTCATGAAGACCGAAGATCAGATATGATAGCCAACATCATGTTAAACAGGAGTTCCATGAAATGGAACTAACAGATCTGCAATCATACAAATGATACCAGGGTTGTCACAGTAAACAATGAAAATAGTGATAGAATTATCATTCATTAACATAATAAACTTTTGGAGTACACGTAAATTTGAAGCAGAGAAAAGGTAATTGAAATTAAACATATTTGTACAACAATGTTACTCACAGTCAGGTCCGTGTTGCAAATGACTGGAACGAAGTGTTTGACCTTAATGTGTTAATTAATGAAGTTAGCTCAAATTCTCTCCTTCTTCTTCTTGATCACTCACCCAAGCTCAAACTCTAGAACACTCTCTTACTCTTTCTCTCTTTCACAGATTATATCTCTCTCTTTTTGTTCTAATTGAAGTCACATATACATATATCTAGATATTTAATTACCTATCTTAGAGTAAGTAACTTAGAGCCTCATAACTTGACTGACCTAGTTAATATATTAAAGCACTACATCATCTAATTGAGGTAAACCAACTCTAACCACTTAGTCCAGTAATTAATTTATAACCCTACGTTTTAACGAATCAGACAGGTCTTTTCATAAGTGAACATATCTGTTAACAAACATAATGCATAGAAATAAGAATACAATGCACAGATAGATGCATAATTCAGATTAATCACAAAATTAACAGTTAAGTAAGGGGCGGGTGTTACATCTGTCATGGGAAACTTCAAGAGAAGAACGAATTCGGTTCCAAAATCATCAATAAGTACATTGATGGCTTGATGATTTCGAACACGATTTGGACCAAAAAAAAAAACTTAATAAATGCAATGAAAAATGACCACCTCTCTCTCCTATCATGAAGGCTCAAAGAGGGAGGCAGACACGCCCCAAGATTCATCAAGATATCATGAATTAATATGTGATGACCCTTGACGTGATGGACTTGGCATAACTTCCGACGGAATCTAACCAATTTATCCATCTTCTTTATGTCGATTGAATTGATTTGAAACCAATTTTATTAGTCCTTTTTTACTTACCTTTCCAATACTTAATCCTTTTGTCCAAAGTGATATTTAAGTCCACTAAATGAGAAGAAATATCAAATGAGAAGTGATCCATAGCATGAAAGAGAGACTATGCCTTGACGATGAACCTCCGTAGAGATTAAGCCATTGAGCATAGGTCTCTTTCTCATGCCTTGAATAATAATCAATCACTTGAAATAACTCTCAAACAAAGAAAAACCAAGAAAGGATGGAGAGTGTAGAAATGATTATGCGGGATTGATTATTAAAATGAGACTCTTGACATGAAAGGAATGTAAAGTAGGCTATCAACTCGAATGACTCGATGTCTAAGGCCTAAACAACCGAAACCATGAAGACGTACAACACAACAAGCAAAGTATTCAAACCATAAACTAATTAAATGAATTTAAACAACCCTATACAGCCCTTATAGTGTAAAAGACAGTGACTAAAGAAGATGTCTAAAGAGCACAAAATATAGGAAATAACAAGGAATTACAAGACTAGTAAACAAAAGCAAGGAGAGGTGGCTAACCCCTCTATTTTTGAAACTTCTAAACCATTTTTTTTTAGCCCTTTTAAACTCTGAAAATCAGTTTGTAAGCCAAGAAAAATATTGCTAAAACAAAGGGAATGAGCTATGAAATAAGGTGTGAGAAAGGGTGTTAAGCCTCTCTACCTTTGGTAGCTATTCAACCCCAAGTTCCAATACTTGAAATGAATCCAAAACAGTAGGAAAACACAAGAAATATATATATATATATATATAGAGAGAGAGAGAGAGAGAGAGACTGAAATGAAAGCAAAGAAAAAGGTGACAAGTTTATACCTCTTGAAGAGAGCAAACTTTGGTTGTAAACCAAACTTGATCCCAGAACGCTCTCAAGGTTGAATTATGATTCTCAAGGTTCAACCAAGGCTCTAAGGTTTAGCTCTCAGGGTGTGTTTGATGTATAGATATAGTTCAAGGATGGTATAATATCTTAAAGCTAGCTTGTAAAGGAAAAAAGAGCTCTCAAGGGTGTATTGGCTTCTTTGAAATTTTTCTAACCTCTAACACTGAGATATATACTCGTATTTATAGAATTTGAGCCGAATAGGTCGAAAATATCTTCAAAAATAGACAGCTGGCTGATTCCCGCCCAGAGCAGCGTTTCTCGCCAAAAAGGCACGGTCGGGCCCTAATGTGGCTCCCATGTTCCTCTATTTTAGGCTCAGTGTATATTGGCATAGTGCCATAGGATGGATTTCTGTGGTAAAAACAATGTGGATAGGGAAGGTTGGGCTTTTTTAGAGCTAGAAACCAGATGCCTTCGTTAAGAATTCGAACCATTGACAACGTACCTTTTATCATCGAGTGCTCATGACAAAGCGCCCAAGTCTCGCTAGCAATCAAAAATGGGGTGTCTACACACAGGTTAGGCCATCCTTGGTTGCAGAGACTTCCAAGAGAGCGAGCATGAGGCAGAGGATTGGCACCTGACTTACTTGTGCCCCTAGTTTATTGCTTTGATTTTTCTTTTCAAGTTTTTATGACGTAAAAGCAACTTTAATTTAACCTGAGAGTTGGAGAATGTACTTGTGTTGAAATCATGTAATCAAAGTTATGAGCACTGAAATTTTTCCTTTTTGGTCCAAATAATAGTCTATGTTGCAAAAGGTAAAATTTTGAGAAAATCAACTTCATTAAAACTTTTCAAAATCATTTTCGGAAACGGTCACTACCTAACACACTCGGAATCAATCCTCAAGACATACAACCCTGAATCAAAGATCATAACCGCCTACAACTGCATTCACCATCGCTGCTCTATCTTGCAACTAGTCTTTCTGCCCAAACGGAGGTAACACAACCAAGCTAACAAATGACGGAAAAAGATGGACCTATCAAACAAATGAACAAGACAGTTGAGTTACAGATGGTAATGGCTAAACTTTGGGATAAAGTTGCCTATGTATCCCAAAGATAGGAATCAGGCCTGACGTAGTTCGGTTCGGGTTCACTCGAGTATTAACTCTCTCCTTGCGCTTTAACTTTTTGTAAAGTCGCCCTTTCGGGTTTTTAACCTTGCAAGCTCTATTTTTCTTCATTTCCAATTTTTCATGCTCTAATTTTTGCCTAGGTTGCCCTTTTGGCTTTTCGGCTTAGCGAGCCTCTCAGGGATAGTATTTCTTTAACTTGTCCATGTTGATCGGTTGCGAGAACTCCAAACCATTCAAATCCACAAAGATAATTGCTCCTCCTGACCAGATAGACTTGATAATGTAAGGACTAGTCTAATTGTGTCTAAACTTGCCTCTAGGGTCATGGATGGGAGCTCGGTTGTCTTTGAGCACCATATATCCTTCTTTGAGGTTTCTAGATTTAAATTTCTTGTTGAAGGCCCTGGCAATTCTGCGTTGATATTCTTGGATATGATACAATGCCTTCAACCTTCTCTTGTCGAACAACATCAATTCTTCGAACCTGTTCTATTGCCAATCCGCCTTTGTTATCTGACACTCAGCCATGATTCTCGATGACGATACTTTGATCTCAATCAACAAAACAACTTCCATCCCATATACTAGAGAATAGAGGGTTGCCCTTCTAAATGTTTGAATTGACATTCCATAACCATAGAGTGCAAATGGCAGTTTATCTAGAGAGTCTTTACAGGTTTCAACCATTTTTCACAGGATGTTCTTAA